TATTGTATCGTTTACCATAGGTAATTTATCTCTAAACTTCCTTTTGAAGAAAAGTTCTGATGAGGTTCTTCCAGTAACAGAATGTGTTGTACATGGTTAAATATTTCAGTAAACTTTCCTTGCAGTCTTTATTTTCAGCTATACTTATTTTAAGACGTTTAAGTATGACACAGTTTTGTCTTTCGACCTCTCCGCTTTGTCGCAGCCAATATGGTACTGTGTTGAAAATAATAATGTTTATTTCTGTTAGAAATGATTTAAACTCTTCGCTGAGTAACTGTCTTCTATTATCTGCAGTTATTGATTTCCTAATGGACTGAATATTCCTTTAAGTTTGGCTACAATTTCAGTAGAGGTAATTTTGCGACAAATCTTCACTTCTTTATAATATGTGGTCACCACTTGTAATGAATTGCGATATCAATCCAAAGCACTTCTGGAAACTCACGCCGTTTTATAGGGTTTTGTGGACATGGTGCAGATACTAGAGTACATCCTTTACAGGCTTTAACAATTTTATCAGCCTCTGTCGCATCTAGGCCACCAGACTTTCGTACGAAGTCTCGCCTTCATTGACACGATACCGGGATGTCCCTCGTGAGCTGCATCCAATACTCTTTTACGGAGTGCCGAGGGAACCACAATTCTCATTCCTCTCAATAATATACCCTCATGAAAACAAAGTTCATTTTGTAAGATTTTATACAACTTCACATCGTCGTTCCATATGTTCCGATATAAACCCTCTTTCACGATTAATATTTTCCTATCGTCCATTGTGCTATCTATTATTTCTTTAATAGAAACAGCACGAGGTCGGGCAAACTCTACAATATGACAAATGTGATTGTCTTAAAATTTTATCAGGGATTTCTCCGCATTTTTGCTTATTTGTTGTCTCGATAATGAGTCGGCGATACTATAAAGGAATATGTGGAAATGTTCCACCGCCCACACGAGAATTAACGCTTCTTTTTCTGTCTGGCAATAGCAGCGTTCACAGTCAGTCAGAGTTTTGTGGCCATATGCAATAATCCTGGGCTCACCTTTGGAATTAGTTTGAACTAAAACTCCACCTAGATCCACAGGACTAGCATCTGCTATGACAATCGTACGATCGCTAACATTATAATACCCTAAGCTAGGAATATTTGTCATGATTTCCTTCAACGACTTAAAATACTCCTTTTGTTCTGGTCCCCAGTTTTCGGTTACATGATATGACAAACATGAGTCTCTTGTATCTTAATAAGCCTTTACTGGTTATAAAGGTGGTTGTTTCTTGAAGCAGGATCTATGTATTCAAGTTGGTGAAATGCATCTTTAATATCCAATATTGTAAATACTTTTGCAATTTTTTCATTTTAGGTAGCAACTTGTCCATCGTCGGCAATGGGTAATTTTCTCGTACAATGGCTCCCATCGTGCACCCATTGAGGTAGATTTACCGTTACAGTCGAACTTTTCCAGTAAAGGAGTGACATCTTTGGGGCGACCAGGAATTTATCAATTTAATGATTCAGATATCTATGTATCTGCAGTTAGATTTGATCTCAGATGCTTCCATCTCGTATCAATTTAATGATCGGATTATATTTTTATCCGCATAAAGCTACTTAAGCCGTCCATACCAACAAACGTATAAATTTAATTATCAGATTTTGAATCTGCTAAGTTTGTAGATTTTATCTTAGATGATCTTGTATGAATTTAATGATCGGATTATATTTTTATCCGCATAAATCTACTCAAGTTGTTCATAAGAAAAAAAGTATAAATTGAATTATCAGATTTTTAATCTGCTAAGTTAGTACCCACTAACGTACAATAATAATTTTATTGTAAAGCTTTTATTTTATTTATTGGTATCAATTTAATGATCAGAATTTTAATCTGCTTTTATTTTTATTTCCTGATATCAATTTAATGATCAGACTTTTAATCTGCTTTTATTTTGATTTACTGGTATCAATTTAATGATCAGACCTTTAATCTGCTTTTATTTTTATTTACAGATATCAATTTAATGATCAGACTTTTAGTCTGCTTTTATTTTGATTTACTGGTATCAATTTAATGATCAGACCTTTAATCTGCTTTTGTTTTTATTTACTGGTATTAATTTAATGATCAGACCTTTAATCTGCTTTTGTTTTTATTTACTGGTATCAATTTAATGATCAGACTTTTAATCTGCTTCTATTTTTATTTACTGGTATCAATTTAATGATCAGACTTTTAGTCTGCTTTTATTTTTATTTACAGGTATCAATTTAATGATCAGACTTTTAGTCTGCTTTCATTTTTATTTACAGATATCAATTTAATGATCAGACTTTTAGTCTGCTTTTATTTTTATTTACTGGCATCAATTTAATGATCAGACTTTTAGTCTGCTTTTATTTTTATTTACAGATATCAATTTAATGATCAGACTTTTAGTCTGCTTTTATTTTTATTTACTGACATCAATTTAATGATCAGACTTTTAGTCTGCTTTTATTTTTATTTACAGATATCAATTTAATGATCAGACTTTTAGTCTGCTTTTATTTTTATTTACAGATATCAATTTAATGATCAGACTTTTAGTCTGCTTTTATTTTTATTTACTGACATCAATTTAATGATCAGAGTTTTAGTCTGCTTTTATTTTTTATTTACAGGTATCAATTTAATGATCAGTTGGGTTCCAACTGCTTTGAGTAGATACTCCCTTTTGTTTTACAGTATTAATCACAACCACATAGTTTTAATTAATTTAGTGAACCAGATCCAATTTAGGGTCTTTGTTAAATCTGCGTTAGTTAGGTAGACAGGTACCTACCGATTTAACGGTCAACGGTTGTAAATAAACCTTGCTATAATTTTTATTATTATTTTTTTTTTGTAGACAAATAGAAACATCACTAAACACAAGCATAATCTTAGTATATATAAATTACTGGTCACATTGTTTGTCCGCTATGGACTCCTAAACTACCGAACCGATATCAATCAAATTTGCACACCGTGTGCAGTTTGATCTAACTTAAAAGATAGGATACATCTCAATTTATACCCGCAATATTATTTTATTGCAAAATATTTGTTTCTTATTTAATAGTCACCATTCTAACAGATGGCGCTGTGTTAAAAGTACCAACGTTTCATATAATTCTTTCAACGTTTCTACAATTTAATGGCATAACCACCATAAAGCATGGTGGTCCCCATGACTGGTGTTCTCCTACCGTTTCCCTTGAATAGTTTACTACTTTGTAATATAACAAAAACCTTAGCCACAGCAACGCTTGGCCGGTCTACTCGTACAATATATTTCTATCACTATGTAGGTAGGTGCTACAAAACAATCGTACATTCAATGAGGTTCAGTTTTGAAATCCTTATATCTTGTAGGGTTTTACATATATACACTAATACAACTTACGTAATGGTATATCTAACAAAAAACAACCGAGCGGTGCTGCGCTCTTGGCCTCGAAATGCTGCATAAATTTTTTAATTAGTTATTTTTTATACATAAGACGTTGATCAGCCCCTTGTGCCTGACATATATCGTCAATTTTTTACTTTAATACTTTTCGTGGCCTCACGATGTTCTCATCACCGAATTTAGACCTCACCCGTAGTTTAGATTAGCTGAACTTTTTTCCTCGTCGCCACATGTAATGTCCTGCTTCTTGGAGTGATTTACGGCTCACCAACACCACAACACTTGTACAAACGTCCTACACACAACCGCTCCGTTCGGATGTCGGATTACGACTGACTGTCTGACAAGTGACATAGGCGCATGAGACAACCAAGTAACACTTTATTTAGTCAATACACTACACATATCTTTGGCATTGTTTAAGGGCCAGGTAATATCGGCCGGGCGTAAAGTGCTAAACAGAGTTGTTTTCGAATAATACGATTATGTTGAGTTGAGTGAATGTTTTTTGATTGACAGTTATATTAGCTTTTCGACAACGTTATTCGCCATTATTGGCAGGAAATTTTGAACTTATTAATACATAAATTTTCTATTTTTTTTTGTAATGTAGCCGGATTAATATATTTCAATATACATATATACATTTACTAAGGCTATATTTAATAAATTCTATACATTATACATTGAAATAAATGACCTTAACATAAACTAAAACATATTATTAAAAGGAGTCCCTTTGAATCGCTAGACTAATTCCTTGTCCGAGGTAGCAGCCAGATCTTCGGTCTCCTGTGATGTCGACTAACCTTTTTGATATTATATTGATAATACTTTAATCTTTAACTTTTCAACTATGCGATGTAAATCCAGAAAGAAAGATCCAGGTTCGATATCCCTTATAGAGACGCAAAAACTAGGAGCAAATCAAACTCAAGGGTTTATAAATAGCATAAAAGCCTGTTTTTACTACTTTGCTATAAAGGGTTCGTAACAAAATTAAATATACACAGAAATGGAATTTTTGTCTCAGGCATATAAAAATGTCCTATAAATTTATCCACAGTTTAATTTAATGTCTAAACTTTTTTTATTCGATGCCCGTGTGGCTCGAATGTTGTTTTGAGAAATGGCTTTGAATTTGTCTCGGTGTTGTTTTTTTAACAATGCCGATATGGAACTATTGATTTTCTTACTTTAACGAACCATTTTAAATTACTTTATAAATACCTATATAACCAATTTTTTAAGGTGATAGATTATTATGTATAACTCGGTAAAAGTTAACTAATTAATTCATATTCATGCCCTTAAAAACTTCAACTCAAATCACGATATATATCGCATATCGCGTTACGAAGGGGTAAGTCGCCCTAAGATCTGCATCTATTTTTTTAATAGACAAAGCAAAGTCTATAGACATCGTCATAGATTGGGTATCGAAGCCCCCACGGTGATGGTGTACGTTGTAATAATTTATTTTTTGCAGGTGATATTGGAGCTGTAGAAGAGAACTGGTGGAGGATCTTCAACGTAATCAACAGCGGGAAGTCCCGCCGCGTGGATGGTGGCGGGCGATTGGGGCTATGCGCCGGCGTCGGCAGCGCCCGCCATGAACGCCTTCCTGGAGACAAACCACGCACACCTGGCTTCGTACGGCCTCAAGATGTCCCCTGAACCCGCATGCGGAGTCGCTGCTCAGCATAGAGCTGCAGCACCTCACCCTCCGCATCCTTCGCACTACCAACACTACCCGTTGCACTCCTACCAGCCAGGATACTTAAGAGAATATGGCGGGTGCGGAGAACTCTTCCCGCAACAGCCCCTAGAACAGAGTTGGGATTGGCGAAACGATGTGCACTACCAAACCGCCCCACCCTTGATGCCACACGCCCATCAGCCACACGCCTTCCTACGCTACGTCAGAGCTCCACCAAGACGTGACATGCGATGCCAATGGCTGGACCCAGACCAGCCTCCCCCTAGGAAACTATGCAATAAGCTATTCTCAAGTATGCACGAAATCGTGACGCATCTGACAGTGGAACACGTAGGTGGTCCAGAGTGCACAACGCACGCGTGTTTCTGGCAGGGTTGTGCGCGGAACGGGAGGCCGTTCAAGGCGAAATACAAACTAGTGAATCACATTCGAGTGCATACGGGCGAAAAGCCCTTCCCGTGCCCGTTTCCCGGTTGCGGTAAAGTGTTCGCGAGATCAGAAAACCTCAAGATACATAAGAGAACGCATACAGGTAAGATTATATTATACTAGCCGCCCCCGCGAACTTTGTTTCTCCTTAATGTGATTTTACTTAGCCTTCCTTTTTGGTACATACCAACATGGATCATTTTGAAAACTTTGTAGGTTCTGTGAATTTTTCTCTATATAAACCTCAGAGTTCAAGTCATAAGTTTTAATTTAACAAATAAAAAGAAGGGGTTGATCTTAGAGGGGTGAAAATTAAGGGTTGTATGTATTTCTGTAAAAACTAAAAATAATTGTCTCAAAAATAAAATAAAAAATTTAGGGGGATGAAAAATGTTGTCTGAATCGCAGACCTAACCGATATTCACACAAAATTTCACGAAAATCGGTCGAGCCATTTCGGAGGAGTTTAATTAAAAACACCGTGGCACGATAATGTTATATGTGGAACCAGCTACTGAAGAATTTATTATTTATATATTTCCAAACTAATGTATGGTCCTTCACGACAAGAGCGTACCGATTCTTAATGCCGGCAACGTACTTGCGAGCCTTCTGGCAACAGGTGAGCCTTCTGTCCGTTTGCTCCTAAAGAACACATGCGCAAAAAAAATATGAAGTCTTTCCAACCGAAACTTGCACCTTCAAGACAAGAGCGTTCTTAATGTCAACAACACACTTGCGAGCTTTCTGGCAATGTGTCCATGGGCATTTGTCAACTACACATTAGGTGAGCTTGCCCAAGAGTTTTAAAAATCATGTATAAAGTTATTATCTGAGTCAAACCCAACTTTAAAATGTTTTTATAGTTCATTAAAGTAGAATGGTTATAACGCCCACAAGACACCATTATAAACCAAAATGCTGTAAGTTATTTTAATGACATTATTAACATTTCATTATAATTTATTTATTTATTATTGTGATAACTTTGGGATAGCATTCGTTTCTATCATAAAAATTAATAATAATAATAAATCGTTTGCATTCAGATTGATTAATTATAAAAAAACGCACTATCAGCCACATTATAGTCATGCAAATGTCATAGTTATTATCATGATGTCATAATAATAAGAACAGTTAATTATAATTGTTGTCAAAACTTATGGTCTAAATACTCTCCACGCTATAAAGGTAATATATATTGTAAAAAATAGAGGTTGAGGTTTAGGGGGTATATCTAGATCTACTCAACCGATTTTGATCATTCTTTTACCAGTGGAAAGCCATGTTATTTGTGAGTGTCATATACTTATATATTAGAGAACGTAATATGTTTTCGTGTCATATTTGCCATCGGAGATATAATCAAACGAAAATGTTTCTTACGCAAGCCTTATTGAGAGATATCTGTTTGAGTTGAAGAATGCTTGACTAGAAAACTTAGCCTATGTATAAAAAATATTTCCAACACACAAATAAGCAGTATTTACTATGTTAACCTTCATAATAACAAATGGATTAAAAGAAAATTAAAACAAATTTAATACCCTGTGACAGTGTACATTTAATGCATGCTTTGGCTATCTTTATATATATAATTCTTCTGTGAGTGTGTATGTCACTGAACTGTCTCTCAAACGACTGGACCGATTTTGATGAAATTTTTTGTGTGTTCAAGGGGTTCTGGGAATGGTTTAGATTCACAAATCAGCCCGGCAGATGGCACTGCAGTCGGTACTTTCATACTTTGCTTAATATCCTAATCGCTTTAAATATCATGCAGGACGACGTCTGTGGGGTCCACTAGTTTTATATACTTTTATATAAAAATAAAGGCCTCCGTCGCGTATGTGTTCGCAATACTCAAAAACTATTGTACGGAATTTCATGCGGTTTTCACCAATATCTAGAATCATTCATGAGGAAGGTTTAGGTTTATAATTTTTCTCGATCTACCCTAGTTTTGTAATACGGTATTCCCAAAATATGAATTAGCCTTTAAATTCAGGTTTTTTTTTCATTTTAACACGTTTCTATTTCAATCTTATAGGGTATGTGTGCCCTTTTTTGGCAAACCCCGCCCGCCTTCCTCCCGTCTTCCTCTTTTTCGTTTGCTGTACCTTGGGCACTTTTCTATTCCTCTTTCCATGTGCCCCACCCATTTCCACTTTAATTTATTTACTGTTATTGTGACATCTGTTACCTTAGTTATTCTATCTTAACGCTGTATTCTTGATTCTCGCTTCTTTCCTTCCCTATCATACATCGTTCCTTCGATCTTTGACACACCTGTAGCTATGTATGCTGCGCTTTAGTGCGCGCGCGTATTGATGTGCTTCCATCCGAAATCTTTACTGTATAATATATATTTATGTTGTTATTGAAAAAATTTAATGGATAGGAATTTGTAACCCATACGGGAGTTGTCAAAACGAAAATTTCCGCATTTCATATCTCATTAAATTGTAATGCCCCTCGTCCATGTGGTCCGTCTTGACATCTATAGAAAGCTGTCTGTCGACTTGTGCGTCCGTTTCTCGGTACATTTCGATTTATTATCCTAGAACACGTCGTATTGTATGCTGTTAAAAGTGTGTCATAAATTAAAACGTCCTGCGGGCTTACCCTGCAATTACAATGGCCATGGTATTGGGATAGTCTCGAAATTGTGTGAATTTTGGCATTTTAACAGTACTGAAAATTATTTATTTCGTAATCCTACAGCTAACATAAATTGTATATAATAACAAACAGGTACTCTAAAAATATAGCCAAAAAAGGTTCAAAATGTACAAAAAATAAACAAACAAATAAAGATTGAAAATGATTTTGACTTGAGAAATGAAAACGAATGATGTGGTATGAAAATCGGGTTTATTCCATATCTTTGATACGTTATATTTAGGCAATTATTGAAAATCTTTACAGAGTAGCCCTACAAGTTCGTTGTCTCATTCCCTAGAATTGGCGACCATCTGCATTGTCGATTTTTTTCTGGTCATCCTCTGTTGCGTATACTATTGTCCCGATTCGATAGAAAAAATGCTTTTGTGGTGAAGTTTGGAGAATTGTTTTATGAACGACTATAAATTTTACTTAAGTGTCTTAGAAATTTCACAGCTTAGTTATTGTAATGAGAATTTAAACGTCGTAATAAAAAAACTAGACGTTTTCATAATATATAACTCAACGACCGCGTTCCGTTTTTATTATCGTTATTTTTCAAAGGATTTGCTATAACCTCTGATTCTTTATTTAAATTTCCAATAGTAAAAGAGGTATCGTAATTTAAAAGAAATAACATCATTTATCTATCGTAATCTTTACGATACAAATCAAATGTCAACTCCACGTATCAGCAAGCAGTTTTCATAACTTTTTTTACTAAGACGCGGAATTTATTGTATACTCTATGGTACACTTTTAAAAAATGAAGAACATCGAAATTTAAAAAGTAATAACATGATTGCTCTATGGTATTCTTTACGATTCAAATCAAACGTAAACTCCACGTATCACCAAGGAGTTTACATAACCTTTTTTTGCTAAACGCGCAATTTATTGTATGCTCAATTAAAGTCATAGTCTTACAGAATGCCGTTGTGCTAACCTGTCGCGGGAAAAGTCGATTTTCAGGCCAACTAGAGATAAAAAATTGCTACAGAAATATACAATCCAATATGTTTTTGATATACATTTTACACGTCACGCTGCTAAATCTTTTATTAAGACCTCTAGAAGACTACCACGCGATCGGGCAGATCTATTAGTCCCCCTTTAGTTCTGAATCTTACCTTAGGGGATTTCCATCAAGACTGATCCTCCTTCGGAACAGAACATCCTTTCTCGTTTACATCCGTAGAGTTTTTTCGATCAGGAATCTAAAATATTTTAGCATATTGTCGAGATGAGCCTTCCGTGAAACTGATATTTTTATAAACCAGTTTCAAATGTAACATAATACTGTATTTGGAAGTTGGTAGCCCAATTTATTTGCTATTGCTCCACAGTAACATTTCAATTTATAAAGATTTCGATCTTTTTAAGATAAATCACTAACACTTTTGTTTAATGCGGGTTCAAATAGGATCCTTTAAAGAAAAATGTTTGGGAAACTTATACGCTTTCTTAAATTAAATATGAAGGAACATGACACGATTTGTAAAATAAACCCAATTTTTTTTTTTTATTATTATTAAGCTTTTATTGATATCCAGTATACCTAATTGTCGTGAATCATGTGCACTTTTTGTTTTTCTTGTATCCTTTATTTTAGTTTAGTTCTTTTTGTTCCTGTTTAGTTTTGTCTTGTCTAATTTAAAACATTTTTTCACTGTTGCCTGGAAGAGATCGCTCGAAAGCGATAAGGCCGCCAGTTGACCTCCTTTTCATTTAATTATGTTCAATTTTTATTATGTTAATGCAACAACGTTTTAATAATTAAAATAATATATATAAATACTTATTTAAGTTACATAATCTAACTTAATATAATAAATACATCATATAATGAGCCGTTGTTGGTAATCAGCGTGTCCTGTGACACATAGGCCTCTTCCAGCTGCTTCCATTCTTTTCTATTAGATCTTCTCGTCCAATTTGTGCCTCCCATTCTCTTTATTATTACTTATTTCCCGGATATTCAGTTTAAACAAATTATGTTAATTAGGTGATCAAAGTCACAAAATCATAGGCATGAGTTTCTTACTTGAAAAATAATGTATTATTCTTGTCAAAGAGACGGCAGTAATTGTGGGAAAATGCCGCGAGCTATCTGGCGCGCGTTAAAACCCCGCCGGCTAGCGAATGTGAGTTAATATTATCTTAATTCATTGGACTATAAAAAACATTCCAATTAGTTATGTCACCTTTTTTGTATGTAATTTCTATGTTCTTATATTATGTGTAAGGGTTTTCAGTATTGCTTTTTTTTATTTATTTATAAAAGGTTGCCAATTTTATTATTTAGAAAAAATTTATATATTAGTACAAAAAAGTACCTACAATATTTAAACATAAACACGATGAAATATAAAAAATTAAACCAAAAAATTACATTATAAAGCTAAAGAAAAATCGATTACAATGTGTGGGTATTGGACTTAATTAATTGCGACAAT